TGGTTTCTATCCTGAAGACTCTTGGTGAGTCAGTGAGGGATTTTAAATAAGGGAGTGATATTATGGACTTGTTAAAAGAACATTCTGCCATGTGTACAGAGAGTGGATTAGAAGGGAGCTAGGCCAGGGGCGGGGGGAGGTACTGGAAGCTTACAGTTGTAATGCAGGAGTAAAAGGTGCAGGGCAGCCTGCAGAGGGGGTGGTAGGTGAGGGGTGTAAAGGAGATGACAAAGGCGGTGTTTCGTCACTGGTTTGATGTGGGAGGGAAGAAAAAGGAAGTAGTAAATAGTGACTTCCAGATTCCTGACCACAGTGGAGGAAGAAGGTACAGGTTTGGGGCCTGAGGAGAGGAATAAATTCAGTTCTTGTTATGTAACATGAATTTAAGATTCCTGCCCATGAGTGAGTCATGCCCATGAATATCTTCCCCGTTCTCACCGTTTGCTTGCTGTGTTACATTGAGCAAGCTGAACAGGCTCTGTTTCTGTTGCCTGCACTACAGGATGGGGATAAAAATGGTGCCTGGCTTATGGGGGACATGGCAAATTTAAGTGGACTTAGTATTAATACACACTTTTAGAAGAATTTAGATGAGTTAATATTAAGTTTTTAGAATAGCACCTACCATAGTGTAAGTAGTCAATGTTTTATATCTGGTATGCCTTAAGGCCCCCTATGAAGGCTTCCCAAAACTACTTTTAGGGACCCATGGACACTAAAACGTTTTTTCTCCCTTCATGGCATCTTCTTTCTCTTCATTCCCCTTCCTCAGCTCTTCCCAAAGGCATGTAAACCGAGGGTCTGAGAGGATTCTTTTCTCCTTCATCTTCCATGACAAAGCCTGACCGGCCATTAGCCTAGACTTGGTGCCCTGTCCCTTTGGCCTGACCCCGGAAGCTGATGCGCTCCTGATTGCTGTCCTCCTCGGCCCTGCCACCAGGATGCATCCAAAGGGGAAATCCTCAGGGCCGCTGTTAGGGACAGTGTTGCTTTTATAGGATGTTACTGGGATGTCACAAGAAGTGCTTGCATGGGAGTCCCTTAAAACAGTGAGGGTTAACAAATTGTCTCCCCCAAGAAGACAATTTATCTTTGGGATTGCTCAGAATCAAGAAATTCTTTGTAATAGGTGAATTTATTTTAAGAATTATTATGTCTAGTGAAAATGCAAGTAATGCGTAAGTCTGAAGCTAACAGACACATCTTGAGATACAGATTTGGGAGTCAGTCACCAAAAGAGATGGTCATGGAATTAACAGAATTGATTATTTCACCCAAGTACTATGTGTAAAATTAAAAGGCCAAGGATTTGAAACACTAAGGAATACCATGGAGTGTCAAGTGTGTGAATAGGAACTGACTTTTACTCAATGGTGTGCTGGGAAATGTTTAACAACTAACATCACCGCCATCACCACCCCCAAAAAGAGAGAGAAAAAGGAAATTAACCCTAATATTAGCATTTGTCTAACTTTTCCCATTGTGGTTTATTTCAAGCTACCAACTTGACAGGACTGAGCGGAGTTGAGAAGAGGGACAGTTCACTCTTGGAGGCGGCAGGAGCTGATTTCTATCATTTTCTTATCCCCCAGGTCTCAGTTACGTGCATTTTAGGTGGCGCTGTAGAACTCCAGTGTCGGGCATGGCTTCGTAAGCAAGCCTTGATTATTGGTAGTGAATTTAGTCATGTAATAATTGTTATGTTACAGATGGCAGCCTATCTAGTCATTTTCCAAGATCTGTTAAGAGAAACCAAGACACATATAACAGATTGTTAGGTCTCTTGGTAGTCGTACTGTTACTATGAATTTAAATATACATTTAAAAATTACCTTAAATTTCCAGATCCTTTAATATTTCCTTTCCTAATTTCATTCAACTTGCCTATTCCTAGTATAAATCATGTTAGGGTATTTGTAGAGGGTGGAAGGCATTATTCCCATTCCCTTAACTCATGTCAAGCAGAGAGCATAGGTTAAAAATCCCTTCTTATATTCTCATAAGGTCACTTTGAAATAAGAGAAAGCATTATGGTTTTTCTAAATAAACATGCTTGAAATTATAAAGTGCATTAGAATTACATAACTAGTTTTTCTAGATGACAGTTTTTCGTGATACAATTAAATTTTTTTTCAATCTATGGTAAATAAGATCAGTAAGCAAGTATGAGTTTGATTAATTAGTGTGTAGTGCTACAGTGACTTTTCTTTCCACCTTCCCCCCAGCTTTATTTTATAATTGACTTATAATATTGTCTATTGTAAATATAAGGTGTACAGCATGTTGATTTGGTGCACTTACGTATTGCAATGTGATTACTACCTTAGCATTAGCTGGCACCTCTATCAGGTCACATAATTCTATTATTTTTTTGTGGTGACAACACTTGACATTTGCTCTCTTAGCTATTTTAAGTATATAATACAGTATTGTTAACTGTATTCACAATACTGTATATTAGAGCTCCAGAACTTATTCATCTTATAACTGGAAGGCTGTGCCCTTCAATCAGCTTCTCCCCATTTCCCCCACTCCCCCACCCCTGGTAACCACCTCCCTTCTCTCTATTGGTATGAGTTCACTTTTTTTAGTTTCCACATGTAAGTGATGCCATGCAATATCTGTCTTGCCCTCAAGGTCCATGTTGTCTCATCTTACACTGAGGACAGTTTTATTGCTCTGGTGGCCCAGCAACTACAGTGGCAGCTGTGATGTCATTACATATAGCAGCATTGCTGTTAGTGGTCAGGCTGTTCTATGGCTGTGATAATGACAGTCACTGTCCAGTGAGCTGGTGTTGAGATAGTCTCCTGGTGCAGAGAAAGGACCACCTTTCAGATCTAGGCTTGCCCAGGGCTGGTAGATGTAAGCCCAAGATTTGTTCTGCAACCCATAAGGCCAGAGTCATGGTTTGCATGACCAAGTAGTTCAGTTAGATATGTTCTGTGGGTTACACACTGGATTTTCAAACCCCTGCCAGCTGCCTTAAAATTGAGTGTTCTCCGTGTGAGAAGGTGAAGTGAGGATGTGGATGGATTGGAGTACAGGGAGATTGTGCTTGGGAGAGTTGGTGGGTAAGTGACTGACTGGTGGCTTACCTGTGGAATCACTTCTTGTGTGAACAATACCACTGTTGGGTAGTTTTGTTTTCTTGTTGGTAGTTGGTATACCTAGAGAATAGGGACATTAAATGCATTTTGTGAGCTGCTGGTGATTTTTATCTACTTGCATAAATCTTGGTCTCATAGCTCTCATTTATTTATTAGTGGATATAGTCATCCAGTAGTCAAAGAATTATGAACTCCCCAGCTTTTTTATGAGTGCAATAAAATACATAACAAAAAATAATTTATGGATAGAAGTTATCTATAAATTAAGATTATAACTTCATAATTTATAACTTCTCTGTGCATTAAAAATCTTCATACTTACTGTATAAATAAATTATAGTTTCACAATTTATAGTCTCTCTCTATAATTTTTTTCTTTATAAAAATGTTTATATTTTATTTAGTTATAAGTAGATTTTTCTACCTGTACTTGTTTTCATATTTACTAGAGAAGTTAAAATTCTTAGTTGGTATTTTTTATTACCTTTAAAATAAGCTTGAGAAAAATCTAATTTTGACTTTTGTATTTTTTCCCCCAAATCCTTCATTGTTCAGAAAAAAAAGTACTTGGGTATTTAATTAACATCCACTTCTCACAACTTTTAAAATATTCAGTACCATTCATGTGTCTATTCATTTATGAAAACTCAGTTCATGAAGCTTATATTTTTAACTGATAAACATATACTTAATAAAAATTTTCCTAGAAGAAAAAAAGTGTTAATCCTAATCAGATTTCACGTATTCATTTAGCCACCATTATGTGGTTTGGTGGCATGAAGGGAATATATTTTTTCTCATGTTGCAGTAGAAATTTAGTGTTCTACATTAAAGAACATAGTGAGAAGGAGCTGGCTTAACAAAACAAAGTTTTTATATCAGGCTTTTAAAATTTCAACAGAATTTCAACATTATTTAGATAAAACAATTATGTTACAAAGACGACTTTTAACAGGATCGGGCCACCCACAGTGTGGACTAGAGAAAATGGCATGCAAGCCACCCAGTGAGACTGAGGTAATTTTTTCATCTTTGCTTAAAGTATAGTCACTAGACCAGATAATGTAGGAACTTTTTATGAGCAGTGATCAAACAGCCAAAAACAGTTTATCCTTTCTCTCCCCTTTCCTTGTGGCTAATTAAAAATCACAAGTTGAAAAAGTTGAACTGTTTTTGTACAGTTAATTTTGCTTTAGAAAAGGCAACTATTTTCATTACAGTGGTTTATATAGTTTGAAATCTTTAGGTTAAAAGTGTATACACACACACACACATATAAAATAGCTAGTTTGTATATAGTTCTATAAGAATTAGCTGATTTAAGAAATATTAATGTTGTTAAACTTTGTCATTTTAAATTGCTTATGTAATATTTTGTGCATCCTACATAGAGATAATTTTACCAAGAGACCACATTAGTTCTAAAATATTTCTTTTGAATCACTTTTCTGAGAAGTATTTTCTTACTTTATTTATTAACATATATATTGATACTGAATCCAGGAAATTTAATGTATTTGCATGTACTACTTATGTGTATATGTGTTTTAACCTATTGTCTGAATGACATAATCTAAGGGCCCATAATTGCTACAAAATTTTAAAAAGAGCTAAAATAAATATGTTTGCATTAGAAAATTTACTTGGGCCTGGTAAATAGGCCTGTTTTTAATTGGATATTCTTAATATATGAAAAGACTTATCAGGCAAAATGGATTGTAATTTTAGCAAACCATGAAAGATTTCCATACATCGAACTTTCAAAATAGTCTGTTGAATTTTAATGTAAAGCTACAATAGCAATTTAAAATTTTGTTTCTTTTGCCTAGTTATACAATTTCTTATTAAAATCAGTTTTGATCTAAGTTTCTTTTTGTCCTTTTAAAATAGGAGCAAGTAATACTGCGGACACATTATTTCAAGAAGTATTAGGTCGAAAAGACAAGGCAGATTCCACTAGAAATGCACTCAACGTGCTTCAGCGATTTAAGTTTCTTTTCAACCTTCCTCTGAATATTGAAAGGAATATTCAAAAGGTAAAGTAAGTATTTATGTGCCTATGGTTATAGAAGTCATAAATTTTAAGAGTTAAGATGTTTTTTATCTTAATCAAATGTCTTTATTATACTTTACTGACAGTCTTCAAAATGTTTCTTTATTTTAAAGGGTGATTATGATGTGGTTATTAATGATTATGAAAAGGCCAAGTCACTTTTTGGGAAAACAGAGGTGCAAGTTTTCAAGAAATGTAAGAATTGTTTATTACTTTTAGATCTTCTACTGTCCTTTTACAGGAAGAACATGGAATGTGTTCTGCAAGAATATTACATGCATTTTAGTTTTTGTTTATATGGTGCTCTTTTTAAAATGTAAAACAATTACTTCAAAAATAGCATTATGGCTTTTCTTACTAAGATGTAGTGAAAATGAACAACCATGACAATAGGATAGGTTAGTCTTGGACATACTTTGCCACTTGTTAACTATTATGCTACTAAAATATCTTTTTTACTGGAAAGAATCAATTACAGATATTTTATAGAGATGGAAACCTACATTTTAATCTTCCCTCTTCAGAAAAACCAATATATTTATGAATTCTAACCCTACTACAAAGTGAACTAACAACTTTTGAAATTATCTCTAATACCAGTTACGGGAAATAAAAAGAGCCTAAGGTGCCCTATGATAATGGTTTATCAGCTAGGAGAAATATCCCAGGGCTTTATTAAATTTGTAAATGAAATTCATAAGGACTCAGAAAACTTAATTTTATTTTTTTACTGTGAAAATTTGCATGCAGTGAAGTGCGCAGATCTTACATGTGATAGGTCAGTGAGTCTGACAAATGCACACGCCCATGTAACCCGTACCTTAGACAAAATATTTTCATCACTCCAGAAAGTTCCTTGTGCTTCTTCTCAGTCAGCGCCTCTACCCCCACGGCAACCACTGTTCTGCCTTCTATAATTTGATTTTCAGTTTCCATTTTGTAAATCTTATGTATATTCTTTCCTTTTCTGATAGATTATGCTGAAGTAGAAACACGGATTGGAGCTTTACGAGAATTACTTCTGGATAAATTGCTTGAGACACCATCAACCTTACATGATCAAAAACGTTATATAAGGTAAACCTTCTGCAGAAGTTTGACACATGACTTATATTGTACTGAATACATTGTCTAACTCTTCAGCTAATTTGGCATAAGTGAGGAAAGTGATGAAATGCAGAATTTTAGGGGCAACTGTTATATGACTTCAAAATTCTTTTGGTAAGTAATAAGTTAGGGAGTACTCAGTTTTTAAGGCCAAGAAAAATCCTGCCCATCCCAGGGTATGACAGGAAGCAGTGTGGGAACTAGCATACTGGGAACTAGCTGTGCACTTTGGGTGTCTGACTTGAGTTCTCTTTCTCAGTTTCTTCACCTGTGAAATGACGTAACACCACAATCTACATCTCAGGGTAGTTGCAAAGATAATCAAGAAAATAGTTAAGGTTTGATATAACACTTGGCACATAATAAGTAGTCAATAAATTACATTTGTATATAATGTGTATATAAGGATTTCAAAATTTTTAAAGCATATAAATTGTAAGCTTTTTATATTTACAATTTAAAAATACTATTTTCTGCTGGCATATTTTGAATATGGCCTTTCTCCTCAGAGTAGGCTGTTATTTTCCAAACTTAATGCCTTCCTTCCCTCTTTAATAAGTGAGGTTTATTGAATAGTCAGTAGTTATAAAGTAATAATAGACTACATATATTTATGCATTTGGCTGTCATCACCCTGTGACCATTGAACATAATTTCCAGGAATTGAAAGAGGGTCTGGCCTACAGCTGCCATGCTTGCAGTTGTGGAGGGGATGCCCTGCATTCCTAGTGACGCAGGATCACAGAAGGAGCCTGAGCTGCTGTCATTGTCAGCACTCGTGTTACCAAAGAGGACATTCGGAGAGGAGACTTTGGCAAGGGGGTGGAGAACAGTGAAATTGATTGCTGCCACTACCAAGGGTCACCTGCAAGGCTCCCAGGCCTCATGCCAGATGTGCTATGTGTATTGTTTCTAATCCTCACAGTTGCAGTGCAGGGCCTTGTGTGTTACACCTGTTTTACAGGCGAGGAAACTGAGCCTCAGACTTGCCGGCTTGGTCAGTGCACACAGCGGAGAGGACGACTCCTGCTTGGTTTCAGAGCCTATCTTTCCTTTCCTTTAAGCTGCCTCCATAGGAAAGAATGTATTGGGGGGATTTTTCTGGCTTGTAGAATCATAGAAATTTAAAGCTGGAAATAAACTCCATGTTAATTAACCAACTGCTTCTTTCTTTTTTTTTTTAACATATAAAGAGACAATTCTAGGGAGGGTAGTCGCCTTGTTCAGGATACACAGCTGGTTAGCATCTTGCTGTCTGTGTTCTGTTATGCTGCTTTGCTAATTGTGTTTTGCATTTATTTAGCTGTTTATAGTTATTCTATTAAATTTGCTGATCGTAATATGTTAAACCTTACTGAGAGTATGATTTCTTTATGTAGTGAATTAACATTTATTCAGATAACTAATTTGTAGTTCCTATGACTAGGTGACCTACGGGGTATCATTTAAAAGATGGTAGATGTTAAAAAAGATTCTTTTAAGTGGCATATTTAAATGCTTCTGTCTTGCATTTTAAAGTGAAGAGAACAAGAATGTCAAGTAGTTTATGAATTTTGTAATCATTTTATTTGTGATGTTTTCAGAAGACACAGCAATTTTGCTATCCTTAAATTGAGCTTTTATTTATTAATAAATAGGAAAAGTAACATCACAACCAGGTCAAGGACTTTGGAATCTATGATAGGTATTGTGAACACCAAGTGGGGATAGAGGTGGTTTTATCACCAACAAAGATACATCTCTCTTCATTCTCTTACATAAAAAGTTATGCATGGAATAAGTGAAAGACCACCATACTGTCTCACTTTTGTTCACTATTTCATCTCATTGACAACTTGCTGATTTTTCACTCCTTATTCTGTGTTGGTGCCAGTAGCTTTAGCAAGAGGCAAAGCTCCATATGCTTCTTTTCCATGTTTTTTGTAGTTGTTAAAGTCATGGCAGAATCTGGCCACGCTTCAATTTTAAAATACTGAGCCTGTGCTCATTATATTTAACATTCTTTACCTTTTCCCTCTAAAAAAGTCTTTTTAAAAAGAGTTCTTTGATACAGTTTTAAAGGAAATAGCAATAACATGTATCATTCTAAACAAAGATCTTTGAAATGAAACTACTGATTTTAGCTACATGCTAAAAGAAAAGGAGAAATTTGTTGAATTAAGTCATTCAAGCAAGGAAAAGCCTAGCACAGGTTGTACTTTTAAACTGAAACAATGTAGAATTTCTGAGAGAATAAATTAATCTTTCTTTAGAAACCTCTTTTAATATAATACCCATTAATAAGATGATAGAAAAAGAGTTAGTATTTAATTTTTCAAGCCCTAGTCAGCCTACTAATTTAAGCCTTGAAGTTTTTAAAGTTACTAAACAAAAAAGTTTATTGATTTCTCTTGCTGTACTGCTCAAGAAAGGGCCCCTGTAATGGACCACCTATGTTCCTACTCACTAGTTTAAAAACTAAAAGAAAACAGCTTTCCTAAAAGAATATTCCTATATATTTACCACTAGCATCGTGTCTGAGGATGTTTTATGAGTGAGAGTGTTTGAGAAGTATTTGGGAGCAGACAAACCTGTCTAAGGAGACTGCAAAGATTAATACAATCATCAATCATGTTTTTTGGAAAGAAATGACACCATGTACTATTTGTCATTTATATTCCAGACGATAGGAGAGGAAAGCCTGGTGGTGTAAAAGGAAGAATCAGATTGGGCTTTGAGAGCTTTGAAATGAGTTCTTAATGCCAAGTTATGTGCCGTTTGTTAGATTATGGTTTTGTTCTTGGGATGCTGTTGATTCGTCCCTTCCTCAACATAGACACAGACTATTTGCAGCCTTACAGGTAGATGGTCTCAAGCAGAAAGAGAAGGTCCAGCTCTGAGGGCTGTCTTGGGAAGCCCCGTGCAGTGTGAGCCGTGCTGTTTAAGGGCCCTTTGAGGATGAGCAAACGACCAGCTCTCCTTAGAATCAGGCGTGTCTCCCATAGCCTGTGAAGGTCAGGGTGGATAATGTGACTTCAGATTTCTCCTCAACATTTCACTTATTGGTAGTTTGTTACAAAATGTTTCTTCTCTAATTAGCTGCTAGTTGAGATGTCTTGTGAGTCAGGAAATACCTTGGGACTGCAGAAGCTTCAGGGAGGCCTCAGGTGTATCCCTGAATGAGTAAGACTTGGCCAGAGGCCACAGCTTGTAACCATTAATTTATCATTAACCAAAAATCTTTAGCCCGAGGCAACAAACCTCTTATGGTTGAAGAATAATTTTAAGAGAGTAAATTCAGCTTTTGGAGTTGTTTTAATTGCATTTAACTTAAAGTCCTCCACAGTTTTGCTTTCTGTCCTTTCAGTTACCTGTGGGCAGCTGCCATCAGGTCAATAGTAGCCTAACACTGTCACGGTGCCTGTCATCCATCTCGTTTCATCTCATCAAGTAGGCATTTTATCACCTCACATCATCACAAAAAGAAGGTTGAGTGCAGTACAAAAAGAAATTTTGAGAGAGAGAGACCATTTTCACTTTCATCACAGTATATTGTTATGATTGCTCTATTTTTTTATTAGTTATTATTAATCACTTACTGTGCCTCATTTATAAATTAAACTATCATAGTACTAATAGGATTAAACAGTATATATAGGATTTGGTACCATCTGTGGATCCAGGCATCCACTAAAGGTCTTGGAACATATACCCTGTGGATGGCAGGGACTATGGTATATTCGTTTTGTGAGGGCTGAGGGCCAAATCTCCTGAATAATTTTTGGCATAGTTTTCCTCTGAAATCTGTTTCAATTGTCTATCTGGGATTGGATATTTTATGTACAAGGAAGACTTGAAATATTTTAAGTACTATTTAAAAACCAAGAAAAATGCCTTTATATACAATACTTTCTAGAGAAATATTTTCTCAGTCATGAATTTAGACTTTAAGGTAAGTGCTTCTTGTAACCAAATCTCTTCACATAATAAGGCCTCAATTGCCCTCATTTAGATTGTTAGAAAATAGTGTCACATTGCCATCTAGTGGCCATATTTCAGACCAGAAAGAAAAAAAAACAACTGAAATTAGAAAAATATTCATCAGATATGAAATGACTCTGCTGGCTCCCACCTGTGTTACCCATAATGACTGAGAACTAAGTAGAAACATTCTGTGAACTACGTATAAATAGAAAGGTAAGTTCTCACTGAGTATATAGGATCATTACCAGTTGCATTTGTCTTGGTTGTCCATAAAAAACCCTAATTTTTAAAAAATATAGTCTCATTGTTAAGTGCACGAAAAGAAATCTGAGTGTATTTCTTTTAGAACTACATCTTAATGACTGATATTGACAAGTACTTTTTGAACTGATAAGATTTTAGTTTTCTTAAAAAAGTAATGATTTAAAAATATGCTAGTTTTCCTTTTGACCTGTGTACAGAGTAAGCCCACTTGGTCAGCTTTGGCCTTGCTTTTTCAGGTACCTGTCGGACCTTCATGCTCCAGGAGACCCTGCCTGGCAGTGTATTGGAGCCCAGCACAGGTGGATCCTTCAGCTCATGCACAGCTGCAAGGAGGGCTACGTGCAAGACCTGAGAGGCAAGTGGTGTTCTTCCAGTGCATGGTGACATTGTTTGGAAATGCTTAATGGTTAAGGGAATGATTAGTTAATTTTTTTTGATATCTGTACCTGTTCATTTGTTTTCTCCTGGTTAGCATTATACAAGAGTGAATTACAGAACAGGGAAGGGAGAAAACTCTTTAACTGTTCCTGCTTTTAATGTTTGACTGGCAGTATTGACAGAAGGTTTGGCTAGAATAGTTAAACTTCTGTGGGAAACAACATGGTGTTGTAGAACGGGTGTCAGTCCTTGCTGATGCGAGTATTACTCATCATTTCATCTAGCACATGCTGGGCCCTTTACATACCAGGCCCTGTACCACGTACAGAGAGAGAGAGTGGTGAGTGAAACAGACATGGTCCCTGCCCTCACAAAAGTAAAAACTTAACTAACCAAATAAAAAGTTGTGACAGATGATACAAAGAAAGGTAACAGTATTCTGAGGGAGGAGAATGCTTTTGGTAGCTGGTTTGCAAAGTCATCTTAGAAAAGGCTCTGTGTTGGGAAAGCACTGGAAGGATGAGAAGGAGCCTGCTGGCCCACTCCAGCCTAAAGACAGGAACCACCTTTGCAAAGATCCTGAGGTCAATTTGAAGGAAGAAGTCACAGCTACATTCACATGCAGGTTTATGAACTTTTATTTATATAATTCTATCATCCCACAGATACTGAATGTCTGCACTGTGCCAGCTGCTATTAGGTGCTAAGGATACAGTGGTCAGTATTGGCAGATGGGGCCTAACTCAACAAGGCTTACAAAATAGTAGGGGAGATGGACTAGGAAAGTAGCCAGTAAGGTACAGTATCCAAGTGCCATGTTAGCACTGTTAACATCCAATCCAGAGTTTTGAGGTCACAAAATTTACATTCTAAGATCTGAAGAATGTATATGCTGGCTGGCTGAAATAGAGGAGGGGGAGAAGAAAGGGTAAAGACCATTCCAGAAAGAGAGAGTGTGCACAGGGCTTCTAGCAAGAGAAGGGGGCAGAATTGAAGCCAGAATTAGGTGGTACCTGGTCCTGGATGGACTTCGTTAGCCTGTTCAAGGGGCTTGCACTTAATCCAGAGGACACTGAGGGAACAATTAAGGGTTTAAAGCAGGAAAATACCTAATGAGACTTAATATTTAAAAGACAGCTCTGGTTTCCATGTGGTGAATGGGTGAGAGGAAGCAGGACAGAACAGTGAGGCCATCGGGAGGCTGCCATGGCTGTTCAGCTATCTCCCCTGGCCTGGAGGGAGTGTATGTGCAGAAGGAGGTCGATTTGAGAGCTGTTCCCAAACTGGAAATGATAGGATTTTGTGATTGAAGAATGAGGAAGAGAAAGAACCCAGGGGTGATTCCCAGATGTCTGACTGTGGCAGCTACTTAGGTTGATGGCACCATTGATTAGGGAACATGGAGGAGAAAAATGATTTCTCCCCCTTCTGTTTGGACAGTTTGACTTCGAGTTGTTTGCCATGCAAGTGGAGATATCTACTAGGTAGTTGGATTTAAAGAGCGACAGATTTGGATATGGTCTGCATACATATAGATGGTCCCTGGGAGTTGATGCATTCATGCAAGAAGATGGAAACAGGAGGAAACTTCAGACAGAATCATGAGGAGCAATATTTACAGGGCTGGTGAAAGGGAAGCCTGCAAAGAAGAAGGGGTTGTTACAGGGCTAGGAGGGAGACAGGAAGGTATAATGTCACCACCAAAGAGGAGAGGAGTGGTCGGCAAGCGATTTAAGATGGATAATAAGAGAGAGAGAGAGACGTCCTTTGGATTTAGCACGGAGGTTGTGGTTGGTGACCTTGGCAAATGCAGTTTCAGTGGCCTGAGATGCCAAGTAGACTATACAAAATAAGGCATAGTGATATTTACAAGGTTTCCAGGAGGAGTAAGTAAACATGAGAACAGTTTGGGCATAGAAGGTAGTACACAGTGGAGAGGTCACAGTTATTTATTTATAACATAGATTTGTCATGAAGTAGTTGGCTTGGATGTGAGTACTTTCCAGGTGATTCTGTCCTTTTCTGTTCTTGTTACTTAGGAAACTTCAGTTATCTCTTTATTGATGCTACATCAAAATTCCTACTAATGTCATTAATTATAGTTTTAACAAGTGAAAATGACATCAAATAATACACATAGTCCGTAGTCTCTGGTGGGCAGAGAGCCTTACGTATCTGTTTACTCAGTCTACTCTGCTGGGCAGGACTCTTAGCCTTGACTGCCCGTCAGAATTCCCTGCATATTTGTAAAGACTGAATTCCTGGCTCCACCTTATTCCTACCGATTATATTAGACTCGCTAGCAGTGGAGTCCAAGTGTCAGTATTTTTTAAAGCTTCTGGGTGATTTGGGTACAGCCACTGTTGGTGACAGTGAGCTAGATGCTGTGCCAGAGACTGCGAGTAGGTGGTGAGCAAAACCAGCATGGTCTCCGACCTCTCTTGACATATTTTTTTAAAAAATCATGTTAGCATTTATTTATCACATAAGTATAGTCATGAAAATTGTTATGAAGTGGGGAATACAGAAATCTATTCCAGGCTAGGGAGGGAGAGGCCAAAGGAAGTTTCCTAGAGGAGGTGGTATTTCCACTGTACCTAAATGAGAAGTATCAATTGTCTGGATAGAGAGGCATGGAGAAGTAGGCCATGTACTGGTAGGGGCTCAGTGAGTGCTACCCCATTCCCCTGCACTAAAGAGGCCAGTTATTGCAGTGATGACATTCCCTAGACACAAACATTGTACGTGGTCTGACAAAGGATTTTCCTACTTACTGTTCATCAGGAACAATCTGACTATGGAATTTAGTCATGAAAATATTTGAATTTCTGGGATGTGTATGTAATTTATGAAGACAACATGTAGACTATTTGAAATTGGAAAAATTCCAGGAAATTTTATAGATATTATTGTTACATCCATACCTGAACTATCTGATAACCACTATTCCATTTTCAAAGGTCTGAATCTTCCTTGCAGATAAACAGAGATACACCTCTACCTGATGGATTCCTTCCCTGTCATCTGGATGTAACATTTTGCTATACATATTCATCCACAGCTTCTTAAAATCAGCATTTCTGAAAGAGAAAATGTCGAGATCATGTCTAATTGAAGCCCTATCTTTCTTATCCATTCTAAGCATGTTGCAGAACTTGCTCATCATTTGAGAAATAATTTTAAAAATACACATTTAATGAATCCATTTGTTAATGATGAACTTTACTGAAAGTTATTTTCATAAGTAGGGCTTTTTTATTAGGGAGTAAAAACAATTACACCTCTTTGAACTGACTTCATGACAGTATAATGTAAATTTCCTAAATTCATGAGTCAGATGTTTATAGGTTATATTTTATTCTCCTTTGACATCAGAAGAACATGCTTAACTGTGCCTTCTTTCATTGTCAGAAATACTACTACTATGAACACCATAGATAATCCTAACATATAAGAGCTTTTTAATTGCAAGATTGGCGTGTTCTTTTGAGCTCATATCAGAAGGGGTTTTTATGATTTTATTTGGAGAATTCCAAACATACTTAAAAGTAGAAAGGATAATGTAATAACCTCACATGTACTTACCCTAGTTTTTCAGTAGATTTCATCTTATGCCAATCTTATTTTATTTATCTATGCCCTTACTGGTCTCTTCCCCTCACTCACCCTAAATTATTTTCAAGGTAAGTCAATCATTTCATCTGTAATTATTTTGGTATGTAATTTTCAAAAATAAAGATACTTTTGAAGTTCTTATAAGAAAAGTCCAAAGATTAAAGGCGGCGATGTGAGAGGTGAGATAGAGGCCTCCTCCTAAAACCGCATATAATACAAAAATATAATTAATACAACTAATCCTGAAAGAGGAACAGGAAAGAAGGCTGCACCAGATTGCATACAAGTGGAGAAAAGAACAGGCCTCACAGAACAGGATAACATATGAAAGCCATGACCCAGTGGGACCCAAGCCCTTCCGCCACCCCAGCTCAACTGGCGGGAGGAAGAAGAACAAGCAGGGAGGGAGTAGAGGCCTGGGACTGCTGAATACCTAGCTCTGCAGATTTGCTGTAGGAGCACAAACCTACATTGCATGGTGCTCTCATGATTACGGGGGTTGGAAAGCTAAGACAGGCAGAATACCTGGAGAGACTGCAATTCCAGCCGCTTATGGAAAACAGGGATCCATATCTGGCTGCTCTGGGACAAAAGAAAGGTGGGCAGTCTGAGAGACTTCCTCACAGCCAGAGGGCTGTTAAAGGGGTAAGGATTGCACAGAACTTACTGCTCAGGAGAAAGGACAGGTAGACAAAATTGTCTGGGTGCACTCTGCCCAGCAGGTTGGGAGCTTCCGCAATCTTTAGGTGCCCCAGCCCGCTGGCTGACTACACAGCTCCAAGGCCCCCCATCTGTGATACACAGCCTGCTGTGCCTTCCTCCCAGACAGCCTGCACCTGGCTCACAAACGGGGAGCCCCTGCCCTGGTGTCAAGCCAGCCAGAGGGAAGCCCCACCTACAGCAGCTACAAATGCAAAGCATAGAGGCTCATACCTGTGTTCTCAGCCCACTGCTTCTGGCAATGGAGACAGGCATAGCAGCCGGGAAGCAGGAAACAGCTCTTTCCTCCCCCCAGGCACCAATACCACTCCCCTGCGACCCCCAACATTGCTTCAGGGGCTGAGCAGCTCCAGATGTAGAGCTTCTTGGCACTACAGGGCACCACATACAAATATAAAACGTCAAAGGGACCTGATTCAAAGCAAAATCATACATACACCAGAAAAAGTCAAATGAAATTGATCTCATGAATCTTCCTGAAAGACATTTCAAAATAAAAATAATAAACATGCTCATGGAGTACAGAAAAATATTCAAGTACTCAGGAATGAATTCTGGGTGGAGATCCAATCATTATGGAACACAGTATGAGAAATGAAACATGCAATGGACAGTTTTAAAAATAGATTAGATATGGTAGAG